GATTTTCTACAGCTGGACCACGAGAAAATAAAGGCAGCTTTGACTTCTCAGAGCCTCACTTTGCAGAGGAATGACGTGTTGATAGATGCTGTAGCCAAATGGGTAAGCCATGACTTGAATAATCGTGTTCACCATGCAGCAGACTTGCTGCACTCCATCCACCTGAATCTGGATGAGATATACTTCAAGACTGCTGTAGATGTGAACAGAAAGTGCTTGCAGAGCAGAGAAGGGAAATTAAAATCTGTGATCATCCAGGCATTGAGATCCAATGGTAAGGAAATGTCTGCAAGCAGAAAAATGTCGTCCAGTATGTATATCATTGGTGGGTACTACTGGCACCCTCTTAGTGAAGTTCACATCTGGGATCCTATCAGCAACACATGGGTGCAAGGAAAAGATATGCCTGATCACGAGCGAGAGAGCTACAGTGTCAGTTTGCTTGGAGCAAATATCTATGTGACAGGCGGTTACCGGACAAACACAGTTGAGGCCCTGGACACTGTTTCCATTTATAACTGTGACTATGACAAATGGACCGAAGGTTGTCCCATGATCACAGCCAGGTACTACCATTGTTCTGTGGCTTTGCATGGCTGTATTTATGCCATCGGAGGCTACAGAGGAGGAGCTCCAGAGAGAGAGACTGAATTTTATGATCCGTTGAAAAAGAAATGGTTCCCTGTGGCCAAAATGATCCGAGGTATGCAAAATATTAGGTGACATGCTATATCTGGGGGTGAATTGAAAAGGAGAGGGAAAAATGAATCACAGCAAAACAACAGTTTCAAGGTCCAATTAGCCATTGTGATATTCCAGTCATATCACATTATCTTGATCAGCAGATGGATGGAGTTGTAGATGTTCAAATTCCCTTTTGTTTCTTGAGCACTTTAAGGACTTCTTGTCCATGTTGGTATGAAACCTGAGGTTCAGAGTTCATTATTAACTTTCCATTTCCTGATGAAAATCATGTTGAAACCATGACTGAAAGCTCCTAATCAGCCTCTAAATGGAACTGCTATGGGCGACTGTGGTTCAGTGGGTAGAGCAGTTGTCTTCCAACCGGAGGGTCGGAAGTTTGAATCTTGGTGCTTGCAGTGCACATGTTGAAGTGTCCTTGGGCAAGACACTGAACCCCCAAGTTGCCCCCGATGGTTAGAGCCATTGGTTGAGTTGGCGCCGCAGATGGCTGCCTCGGTTCTGTACAGGAAACAAATTCCTTGTGTGTGTAACATACTTGGCCAAAAAAAAGGTGATTATTATTATTAAGGTCAAGAATGAACACAGAACCTCAGTAAATGATTTTCTGTCTTACCAGCTTTTGTGTGCCAGGTGAAGGTCAATGTTTATTCATGGAATTCGTTAAAATCACTTATTTAAGTTTAAAGCTTCATTCTTGATCTAGGGAATAAAAGCTTTAAAAGTTTTTACACAAAGTACAGTTACTAGTCTTGGTCTATTGTCAAAGGAAGTTTGCTTAGCTGCCATGGGGATGGTTCAGTTGCAATAACACCTGAACCATCTCCTAAACATATAGAAATGTAAAAGGCCATAGCAGAAATTAAACAGTGAACGCTGAGTTAAAATAATTTAGGCCTACATTTTACATTTTTCTTTCACAACTTAAAGTTATAGTATGTAACTTAACGTAACGCTAGCATGAAACTCGAGATCAGTCCACTCTGCTCTGCCCAGCTCTTCGAATATTTGTTGTTATGAAATTGCAAGAAAGTAGAATGCAACCAAACTTACTGATCAAGCATAAATAATTGAAAATCTCTGACTGATTAGATATGCCAATCCTGCTCAAAGCCCTTTAGAAGCTAATATCTCTGCACTGCTGCCAGTGCTGTCCAATGGGTCGCAGGAGGCTTCGACAGCACCTCTCCACATTAAGACAAGTTCTGGAGCATAATTCCAAAATAGATTATTTGAAAAAAGGTACATTTTATAGCATTAAATGTGCAATAATCAAAAGTTTTTGAAGGATCCACATGTTGCTCCTAATGACAAACCCACAAAAAAGATCTACCCCACTCAGCTAAAAGCTTTGTGTTTATATTTGCTAATAAGATAATATCAATTCTAAAAGGAAATAATACTATGTTTATATGCTGTGTTTATAGCTTGTTGTGTTGTCCTCAAATTGTCAAAAAATCAATTAATGTATCTTTGAGTAACAGTTATAGATAGCTACCTGTTTCCTTTGAAGGTGTAGGCAATGCCACTGCCTGTGTAATGGGAGATAAAATCTATGTGACCGGAGGCCACTATGGGTACAGAGGAAGCTGCACCTATGAAAAAATCCAGGTCTACAGGCCAGATGCTAATGAGTGGAGTATTCTTACAATAAGCCCCCATCCAGGTATGAGACAAAGAAAAAGAAATGTGAAAGTCAATGGCCTGAATACCATGTCCTAATTTAAAATCTTCTGTTTTCAGAATATGGACTTTGTTCTGTGTCTCTCAACAACAAGCTGTATTTGGTGGGTGGACAGACAACTATCACAGACTGCTACGACACAGAGAGAGACGAATGGAGACCAATATCAGTGATGAGGGAGAGGAGGATGGAGTGTGGGGCGGTGGTAATAAATAACTGTGTTTATGTGACAGGGGGATACTCCTACTCAAAAGGTACATATCTGCAAAGCATTGAGAAATATGACCCTAAGCTGGACTCATGGGAGATAGTGGGCAGTCTTCCCGGCCCAGCCAGATCACATGGATGTGTTTGTGTTCACAGTGTTTAGTGTCAAACCCCAAATTACAAATGTTTATGTACTGTCATTTTGTGGCAAATGGATCAAATGGTGACCTGTATTTTGTCAAAGTGTTAAATACCAGGAACAGTCACACAAGATGTCAGGTCAGGCCACGTTTTGCACTGGATAACTGCCAAACTGTAAATAATGAAGAATAATTTTGTCACAATACCCCAGGGGCTTCACACCATTATAGTACACTTTTTTGTGTATTTCTGTTTTTAGTATATTGAAAGGAAATACCAAAAAAAGGGTAGAGAGAACATTTGAGTATGATCAAAATCCACATTAAGAATACAGAGAATCCAGCTCAGACCAACGATGCAACAACCCAGATCATCTTTAGTAAAGTTGTACCACCAGGCTGCTCCTTGCTTAAATAAATCATTGCTCCTGCCTTAATCAATTTATTCCATAGATGGTGTTACAGTGGACTCCATTCAATTGTAATCATTTTCATATTTACACAGTGACATAAAGTTTGATGTTTTACTGCAGTTTGTGGATATTATGCACTCATGTAGCAGTTAGATAAGAGATAAGATAATCCTTTATTGTCATTGTAACACACAACAAAATTTTAGAGTGACCTCCAGTCGGTACAGCAATAGAAAAAATAAGACCATATAAAAAACTTAACCGCTACAAAAACAAAATAAACAACAGACCTCTCACATACACAGGCATATTATATTTTAGCAGCATTGAGCGTGGTAACTGTTGTTGGGTAAAAACTATTCTTTAATCTAGTGGTCCTTGATTTGAACCGTCTACCTGATGACAGCAGTTCAAAGAATGAATGTCCTGGGTGTGAAGTGTCCTTAATGATGTTCTGGGCTTTTTTGAGGCAGCAGGAACTGTGTAGTTCTTCCAGAGTGAGGAGAGGGCAGCTGATGATCTCCTGGGCCGTATTAATGACCCTCTGCAGTGCTTTCCTGTGAGCCACTGTGCTGCTGCTGTACCATACACATACAGTATACAGTATGTAAGGATGCTCTCAGTGGAGCACCGATAGAAGGACAGCAGCAGTCTCTGGGACATGTTGTTCTTCCTGAGCACCCGTAGGAAGTACAGTCTCTGCTGGGCCTTTTTAAGCAGTTTAGAGGTATTCACGCCCTAGGTCAGATCCTCCTCAATATGAACTCCCAGAAAGTGGAAGGCTGGCACCCTCTCCACACGGTCCCCGCTGATATACAGTGGCAAGATGTTGGTTTTCTTTCTCCTGAAGTTGACAATGACCTTAGTCTTTGAGGTATTAAGGAGCAGATTGTTCTCTCTGCACCACACTATCAGCCTCTCCACCTCATCCCTGTATGTAGTCTCAATTAGGTACATCTAATTATAATGTTCAATTTTTGTGTAGAAAGGTGCTGATAACTGTATGATCCTTTGGAGGGTGTAGGCTTTGCTGCTGTCGAACTGTATTGCACTTCTGTTTTGTCCATCTTATTTATATCAGTGAGGCCAGGTTAAATAACAGAAACACTTTTCTGTATAGGCTTATGCAGTCTTGGTGATTATTTTTGAGATTAAGAGTTGGTTGATGTTGGGTGTAATGTGAAGTCAAGGCAAGGTTTTTTTCTTGCTTTATTTTGCAGTTTTCAACAACAAAGCAATTCAGAGTACTTTATATAAAACAAAAGTAATGAAGGGAAGATAGAAATGATACAAAGATACACATGGGTGGAAAATAAGTCAAATTAGAATAAAACCAAGTAAATAAAAATCACTATGTAAACATGTGTGACAAAATTACTAATCTATAATAAAATTTTTGGATATTTGTATAATACATCCACTACTCTTCTTAATATTAATGTTAAATCTGAATTACAGCGACACCTTGGGGCTCTGACCTCCATCACACAGATGTTCTCATGGAAGAGCTGCAGTCGCTGAAATTCAAGCTTCCGAAGGAGCCACAGAGGCGATATCGTAAACTCCAACTCTTTTGATCCTTGCTGTGTTCCGTAGCACGCAGTATCAACGTGTGCTCGGAGCAGAGAAGGCTTGGTTTATTAATGAAACTGCAGCTTGACGTTAACTCCACGTATTGTAAGTATAACTCTTAGACGTTGTGTAAAAGCTGTTTTATATCTTTAAGTTTATTTTACGTGATAGCTGTTTTATATTGTACAGAAGAACAGACATTCTCGTCTGGCATGTTTGAGCAGCATGCTAGGCGCAGAGTGCGAATGACTAAGTTAGTTTAACCATTACATACACCATTTATTTATAGCTAGCGTAATATTACACTAAATGGGTTATGTATTGTCAACATGGCAAGACTCAGGACGCTGGGTGATTTGGCTGTACGAACAAACGGCGTGGCCGGTATAGCTGCATATGAGCTAAGCTAGCAGGTTAGCCATCAAGCTAGTCCCAACAGCAGCATGAATGAAATATGCCAATAGTCCATGCCATTGATGTGCTAGTTTACATATGTCGTTGGTAAATGGCTCTTTGAATTTTATTTATTTGGTCAAGACGTTCAAAATATATATCCACCTGCCAAATGTTGCTTTGAGATTTCCTTTTTCGCAGTTTAACTGTACCAAATTGTAAAGTCTTAAAAGATCAGAAATGGAAAAAATCCTCATTGTGGCTGGCCCCGCAGATACTTCGGGTTTTGATTTGCAGAATTGTAGTGTTTTGACAGTTGAATGAATATTTCTGTCAGTGGTTGTACTCCAAATGTTGCAAAATTACTTGAGAACAAAAACATCATCAGAGGCCTTCTGATAATGTCTAGGTTAACCCAGAGCTCCCAGCATGGCCCGAGTTTACGATTTTTAATCCTTCAGCAAATACCTGTATATACGTGATAGGGTTAGTGCAGTGCTCAAAACGTAAGCCATTAACTATATAGCCTAACATTTATAAAACGGACAAAATTTTCCATTACAGTTCCTCAGACCCAGTGTTACGTATTCAGTTAAGCTGTTTTCTCCAAACAATGGCCTGAAAATAAGAAATACTTAATTTGGATCAATATTAAACATTGACAAAACTAGAATTAGTGAATATACAGTGAAATTACTTTAGCCACTACTTTATTAGCAGAATTGAAGTTGATCTATTTACAGTAGGCAGACACATTATTTGTCATTTCAGGAATTAAATTTGCACAAATACGTTTAAGAATCTACAGAAGTATTTCTTTTTAACTTGGGAATAACATTTTGTTGGTTGGTAGGGTTACCGTTTTCTGCATAGAACAATCATGGCAGAAACTCAAGAAGAGATGTCTCCACTTGAGGTGAAAGTGGCACGACAAATAGAGGTAATCACAGTATCAAATTTTTTATTTACATCTTGTAACAGTAGTCGGTTGCATGAATCTCTTTAAATGTCTTTCAATCCCACCTGCAGTACTACTTTGGAGATCACAATCTTCCGAGGGACAAATTTCTCAAAGAACAGGTGCAGCTTGATGATGGCTGGGTGACTTTGGAGACGATGATCAAATTCAACAGGTTTGTGTTACTTCCTTTTATTGCTTCTCTGTTTAGCTGCTGCAAAACAACTATTGCCCTTAATTTAGTCAGTGCAATAGTTCATTTCTTGAACTTGTTTTTAATTTGACAAAGAACATAGTAGACTGCATTCAGCACAAAACCAAGTAATGTTAGGCTCAGTCATGATTACTGTTCTCCACAGGCTGTAGTTTTTTTTTTTCATGCTGAGACATACACGTCAGTCATCTAAAAACAAGATGGGTGAGCCAGGAAAAACAGGCTAGTTCTGTTTGCACCTATAGGAGATGTTAACTGCATTATGTGGTTGGCTCACTTCTATTCTTACTGCGCCTCCAACTCTGTGTAACATCAATAAATCCTAAAAGTGATCTACACCACTAATAACTGCAAACGTGTCAAAAGGTCTTGTAGAGTTGAATGGAACATACCTGTGTGCTTTGTTTTTGCCAGCTGATGAGGAGAGATGTGCTTTGACATCATGTTGGAATACTAGGCTCCAGATCCATCTGGTCACATGTTGTAGTCAGAAGGCAGAGTGAGTCAGCACTCTTGATTTCTTATCAAGTCTAATTCCCTGAAGAGCAGTGCAGCAGTAATTAAGAATTTTTTTTTTTTTTGTCTTTAATATATTCTAAAATTAAGTCCCAGCTATTAGTGATTGCAGGAACACGTGTACAGTTTAGAGATGTGCAGAGGCTCTGGTTTTATGCTGCGTCACTGCAGTGGGGTGAATGTATGTCCATATAGCACATGCTCGTACGGAAAGAGTTGCATGTGTGATGTTGTGTTGTTCCTTCTACTTCAGAGTGTCTGAATGATTCTTATTCTCTTCCAGACTGAAGACTTTAACTACAGACAGCAGTGTCATTGTAGCGGCGCTCCAGAAATCAAAAACTGGCCTGTTGGAAATCAGTGAAGACAAGACAAAAGTCAGGAGGTCTCCAAACAAACCCTTACCTGAACAGAATGATGAATACAGAGATGCTCTTAAGCAAAAGTCTGTGTACATTGTAAGTTTTTATATTGAATTTCTTATAAATAAGTTGTTTTATGAGGGTATATCTGCATGTCATGAAACATATGCACATCCTTTATGCCTCCTCGCCGGAGATAGCCACGGCTGGAGGCATTATGTTTTGGGGTTGTCTGTCCTTACAGCCCATTTTTGTGAATGCAATATGTTGGGATTGCCTTGAGGGAATTTATTTAAATTTGGCACAAGTGCCCATCTCGACTCAAGGATGAACTGATTAGATTTTGGTGGTCAAAGGTCACAGTGACCTCATCTCACATTCCCCTGAATTTGACTGGTGGCAGAGGCAAAGAACTGCAACATCCCCCCCCCCTTAACATTTTTGCTTTGTTTTTGTAACGTATTGCCAAAGGTTTTCCATTCACAGCATTTGCCCAGCATGTATTCTGATTTCATTCGGGTATACTGCTGTTTGCTGCTGCTGTGTCAGAGATATGTAGTATATTATCTTTTCCCACTTAGAAAGGGTTCCCGCTCAATACTACTCTTGATGAGATTCAAGAGTGGTTGAATGGAAAAGGTGCCATAGAAAACATTCAGATGAGGAGAACCCTGCTAAGGCAGTTCAAGGTAAAATTTGTGCATTTGGTAGCATTCAAATCAGTGTTTGTGCAGTTTTTTTTTTTTTTTTTGAAGGGATGGTGGAGATTTTTATTGTTTTTTGTCTTCACAGGGATCAGTGTTCATCTGTTTTGACACAGAAGAGTCATCCAAGCAGTTCCTACAACGCTCAGACATAAAATCATTCAAAGACAATGAGATGCTTGTGTTATCCAGGTACGTTGTACTGCTTTTTGGGTTGCGCTTTATCTACAGTGGGCAAACGCTGTGTTTTGTTTTGAAAATGAAATCGGCATAAGATCAGAAAGGTGATAGGCATCTTATTTTACATTTTAATGCAGCATTACTCTGCTTAATGTAACAGATTTGAAGGTGTTTGCGCCCTTCTTGTTTGTCAGGGCTTAGGCCAAACAAATCAGTTTTTAGAGCTTATCAGAGTTGATGACCTTTCAAATCTCCCAGGATGTTTTCTATCAGCTACTTTTAGGAAATTGATACTGGGAGTAATGTTTTTAGATGTCATGGGTGTTTTTTTTGCATTGGAAATTTACTATTGGAATACACTAACCAATGTGAATTCAAGCTGATCACAGTTGCCTTTAGCAATATATTTTTAAAAACTACACTTCAATACAGAAAAAAACAGCTTTCATTTATAGTTACTTGGGCTTCACCCGTACTTACCTTAAACTATAGAAGACAACTTGCCAGCGTCTTCAGTCCCCAGACTATGGAAAATACTTGGCTCCCTCTCAAGTGTATGCATTCAAATCATCCAAGGATATTTAAAGACTGGAATAGACACAAGAAACCTCTCAAGCCTATGGTGTCTGCCCCTGTAACATACAGTCTGACAGGATCCTACATTTGTGCACATGCTTTAGTGTTTTATTTTTGCAATCTCCAGAAATTAAGCAAAAAAAGATTAACTGCACTGAAACTTGTTTAAACATTTGAAGTTCGTGTTTAACTGCAGTGTTAAAACTTTCGTCTAGAAAATTACTAAGATATCATTTCTTCAGGGCTGCACACATATACATCGTTCAATAATTTAATAATAATAAAAAAAAATGTGTTTAATAATTCAGAGAAGACTACCATGCAAAGAAACTTGAAGAGCGGAAACAGTCCAGAGCAGAGACAAAATCAAAAGCTAAACGGTAAGTACATGAGGAGTACCGTTTTGAATTAAAATCATACAAAACATTTCCTGAAAATGTACTGATACGCTTCCTAAAAATTATTTAGGGAAAAGGCGCAACAGCAAAAGGATGCAGAAGAGAAAGAAATGGTAAGACTCCCTCAAGTGTTTACTTGCTTATTATGTTGTGGCAGTGGGGTAGAAATGGTAAGCTTAACTGTAATTTGTGTTGTAGGGTCTGCTTTTGGATGAACAGACAGGTTGCCTGTTGAAGTTTTCAGGGGATCTTGAAAATGTTTCAAGAGAGGACTTTCACGAGTTGTTCTCTGGTCATGGAAAGATAAAGTGGGCTAACTTTACAAGAGGGGCCAAAGAGGTAAATAAGCCCCCTCATCAAGTCTTGAGTTAAGGGTGAAGAGATGTTATAGTTAAATTTCAACATTTTTACTTCCAACAAGGGCACCCTCCTTTTCGATGGAAATGCAAAGGAGGCATTCGACAAGGCCAAAGAGGCAAATGGAGGGGAGCTGAAAATCAAAGATAACAGTGTTACATGGCAGGTGCTCGAGGGAGAGGAGGAGAAAGAGGTACTGAAGGAGATCATTGAAGCTCAACAGGAGTCTTTCAACAGATTCAAGGGCAGAGGTGAATCCTGTTTTTCCCCAACTGAATTATTTCATTCTAAATGAATAAACTGTGTTAGGTAATCAGTGATTTACTGTATTTATTTAGTACAGATAAATATTGTTGGTCTTAAAGACAGGGGAAGATCAGGTGGCAGAGGAAGAGGACGACGAAGGGGCAGAGGTGGTAAAGATCAAGGCAGAACTCGGTTCCAAGGCAAAAAGATGAAATTTGATAGTGATGATGATGAGGAGGAGGATGGTAAGTTTAACATCTTATCAAGCATTGTGTCAAGATACTTATTGGCTAAAACGTCTTTAGTCATATATACTCTGTGCTTATCTTTCAGCACCCGCGGCCCCAAAGAGAGAGCTAGAAGACGCTGAAGGCCCTGCAGCAAAGGTTGCCAAAACTGAAAATGGATCAGAATCATGAAGTCACAACCAGAATTTTTCTTTTGTGAAAACATTTATTCGAAATGGTGAAAATGCAGAGGCAACTTAAATCCATTCCAGTGGAAGCTTCAGGCTTTGGCGAATCGTAGGAAATCCACCTGGATGTCAACCTAGAGGAGATTTGTAAAGCTTGGCATCAGTTTTCAGCCTTTTAAGTACTCATATTGTGCCTCTATCATGATTTGTGTACCTATGTTTCTCTTTAGATATTTTGATTTTATGTTCAACATTAAGTCTAATTTAATTTCATCAGGACATTTTAGTTGGTTTTGTACAACCTGTGTGACAACTAGTCTGTGCTCCACTTTTTTTTTCTTGTACAATTCCTGCACTTAGTGATAAGATCATCGGCTTTGCTATTTTTTAAGTTTGTATAAGCGAATAGCAAATAAATCCTAAAAAATGTAACCAAGATCTGGTTGAATGTGGTTTGTCAAATACAACCTGAGACATCTACTGGAAAATGTTTTGTCTGTGTGGTGCAGCGCAGCACATGAGCTTACCGATTTCTTTTTGTGGAACTTGTAAGATGCTGGCAAGTCGTACCTTAGCTCTGAAACAAAAGTAAATATGCTAGTTTTGAACTTTGAATTCTTCCATTAGAGAATATGTACGGTTTTTCTTACCTGCTATTACCTCCATCTTTATTCCCCAGTCATTAGCCTTCTTTTGTATGTGCTGTAATTAGATAAGGACTCAGTTGGCATTACACAGTCTTCATGCCACAGTTGTAAACATGAGTCAGTTATGTCAGAAAAAATGTGGACTTGAAACTAAGGATATTTATGATCTCAGGTTTTGACCTTGTTATTGAAAGAATCACTTAAAAAAAAAAAACAGTATCTCATGGCTCTGAACAGAACGTGTTCAAGTGTTATTTTAATGGTCAGCAGTTGGAGACCCTTAAGGCTTGCAACTGACAATGTTTCCTTGTGAAGACTTGTGAATGGACTTGGATTTACCCTAAAAGCTGCCTGTTACCGTCTAAGGCCACAGAGTTGTAAATGTGACCAGTGTAGATACGGATCTTACCTCTCGTGTTGATGTTTTATGAAGTGAGTACACTGATGTCTTTGCCATTGTTAAAGCGGCCCTCAGAAACTTCATGTCCATTCCTTGAACAAAGAATAAAAGTGTAAAGCTACTGTGACAGGGTTACACAGAGTTAAAGGGGCATTCCACTGTTTATACACATTGTCAGTTTATATTGCAGAAAGGTATTAACATGTATAGTATATGGTTCTGAGCTTTCTGTTGTTTCATGTCATATGTACAGCTAAGTTGAAAATGTCAGTATATGGGCCAGTTTCAACTGGGAATATCCAAATTTTTTTTTCTAAAAAGTGATATCTGACATGGATAAAAGAAATGCCTGCAAAGAATACAAATGTGGACATTAAGTATTTTACTGGATATTGTGCCACATTTTCAATGCTAAATATTTCAACGAATGAAAATCTCAGCCATCTGACCAAACCATCTGCTGAGGAACACAGAGATGCAGCTGAAGGCTCTAGAAAAATGTATGTGGACAGATAAGTTTTAAGTTTTTGCAATGCAATGATTGCTCACAGTTTGTAAAGACAGGAATCTTGCCCATTTCCAACATCCACCAAATATGACCTGAACACATCATAAAGTCCGACAAGATAACCTCTAATGTTGTCATTGTGTTATCTCAGATTGGGCTTTAGACTTCAGTTTCAAACAGAAAGCCTGTTACACATTGAGGATGTGCAGTCTGAGAGGGTATACTGACAGATGCTACTGGGCTGCATTATGGGAAGTGTATCAACTGTTTAGATCTTGACATGTACTGTGGTGTGGATTAAAAGTCAGGACATCTTCACCTCTGGTGTGTCGCTTTTGAGCATAATTTTTCTCAGCAGTTTTTCAGAAGCTCCCGAACTTTATTGATTTACAATACTAAGTGACTGCAGCAGTCATTTTAAAGTTAGCACTCACCTGGGTTGTGCTTTGTTCCAAATGGTGGATTCATTATTACAGTGTCAAATTTTTTGGCATAAGCATCTGCATCCAGAGAACACATGTCACACTGAACCAGATCCACGTTAGAAATCTCAAATTCCTCTGCATTTCTTTTGAATATGTTCAGTGCGTCACTGTCAATGTCGAAGCCAACGCACAAACTGCAGAAGAAAGAACAGGGGACGAGGGATGAAGCTGAGTAAAATGCAAAAACTATGTAATGCGCATGGTTAGATGTTCTCACCCTGCATCGAGCATCGCAGCCCCGATGCTAAGGACTCCACAGCCGCATCCCAAATCTGCCACTAGTTTACCCCCAATGTCATCAAACGTACTCTGGATGGTGTAAAGCATGCATGCTGTGGAAAACACGTAGAAGTTCATGAGAACAATGTGCGCTATCAACCCTCCAATGATCATATGTTGTCACCCCCACCTGCAATATGAGGACTGGTTGGATATTGCTCAAGAAGGATTTTTGGCTCTTCAAATACGTCCACTTGCTGTAAGCAACTCTCTAACTCTTTAAGTTTCATTACTGCATACTGTAATTTTTCAAACCTACGTGTCCCCTGGGCGACAACCCAGAGATAAGTGATCTCAAAGGGTCTTTATTTTAAAGCTGTAATCGGTGTGAGCGTGTAAATTAATATTGCTAAAGACGATTTCCGCTAGAGGGTGTACATCAATCAAAACAATCCGACACTAACCCGGGACATGTGATAGTGGTTCCTTCCTACGCTTTAAAAAATATTACTAAATTATTGTAACAGTTTCAATGTAGGAGTTATAAAAAATGAATTAATTTAAAGAATATCTCTCATTTGAAATTAGGTGAGAATAATTCATGATGTCTAAAACGAACCGTATATTGTTGGAAATATGTCTGTTTTGCATAAACACTGATTATGTTTCACTAATAACAGAATCCAGAACAGCTTTAGTTTTTTTTTGGCAATTATTGAGGCCGGAACTTTATAATTATTTTTGCGCAAGCATATAGGTCTCCAGTCTTCGATGCTAAGATCTTTTTTGGGCTTAGAATCAGGGTTTGTATACCCGTAGATGTTCATCATGGATATAGTAACATTCAAACCAGATTAATATTACAGATAATAGTGTCTTTCTGGTTCGCATTTTGAAACAAGCAGGTCCCCTCCAGACTGGTAAAATGCTATATCCTTATTTGTCCAGTGACGGTGATGATGTCGCAAACAAGGCTATCAGTTGCCTAGAAACGGGAAACAAAACACAACTTGGGTGACTGTATAAACCGAGCTGTGTAAACAAGTAAGAGACACCTTTAGACTCTGCTAGATCAAATATTTATAAAAGACTCAATTATATAAAATATGCATACTTAAAATAAATGTAACTTATAAGTTGTCATTGCACACGGAACGTAAATTATTTTTGTAAATTCGCCAGCCAACGTCGACGTAACGAGCCGTATCGCGAGAAGGCCCGAGAACATGGAAACAAGACAACAAAAATAAATTTGTGCACAGCAAGCTGGAGTGCATGATGGCAGCGTCGCTGCTGAGCCGGGACAAGAAAGGCACAGCCGCCCACTTGAAGGCAGACTTAAATCGGACTGACAATAGCTCAGGGGTCCGACAACTTCAGGAGCTACTCGATGCTGTGCTAAATCCTGAAAGACCAGCGGCGGACACAGAGGCTCTTGACTGGTGTAAATGTCTAATTTCAGGAGGCGATGGTTTCGAGGAGTTCTGCAAAACGGTCCGGACGTATGACAACGCGACTCTGTGCGGCTTGGTTTGGACGGCTAATTTCGTGGCATATCGATGCCGGACCTGTGGCATCTCTCCGTGCATGTCACTGTGTGCTGAGTGTTTTAATAACGGAGACCACACGGGCCATGATTTTAACATGTTCAGGAGCCAGGCTGGTGGGGCCTGTGACTGTGGAGATAGTAATGTCATGCGAGAGAGTGGGTAAGTCCAAGCTAGGTACCAGCTACGCTGCCAATGCTAACTGATGCTTTAGCTGCTAACCTACGATTTGACAGGTCTTGGTAGGAAATGAGCTAACTTACCAAATCATATTTCTTTATCGGCGCAGTCGACGTTATGTTCAAAACACTTTTGTGCAGAATTACCTATTACGAGGCTCATCATTTATTGTTAGGTAACCGTTGATTTAGCAGCTCTGGTCTGACGGTTTCCTAGCCTTGCTAACCATAACAGTAGCTAGGTATATTGAGGTTACCGTATATCAATATTTACCAGTATCAGACGGTATAGATTTGCTCTTAGAGTTTGTTTATAGCAATAAGCATGAATCTAAGTTTTGTCAGCTTTTATTTTAACGGGTGACTTACAGCTGTTGTCATAGCCGAAGCTTTCTAAAGTTAATCTGGATAAAATGATATATTCTTGCGATTTCTTTTTTAAATGACTGTATTCAAGGGTTGGACACAAACTATTGTCACAGATTTAAAAAGCTGTTTGAGTACCAAAATATTGTCATGTTAGATTTTTATCAGTAATCAGGTAACTTTATTAGCTGGTCAGAATACGACAGTGGCCTGTTTAACAGGTAAGTTTTGGTACTTCAGTTTTGGATGACTTTGCAGCTGTGTCATATACAGTCTTAAGCAATATAAGCAAGAGATGTAGTAGCTTGTGTGTTGCAATGGCTCACATTGTGTATGGGCAGTCATTAAAAACACCTCCCAGTTTCTTGTCCTGCAGTACTCACCTAGTTCCAGCTATTAACTTCAGCTCAACACAAAATCACAAGTGCTATATCTATAAAAACCAACAAAATTAAAATTATGCTTAAACCCAACTTTCAGTCATGTGAGGACAGTTAAGAAACCTCAATCATAATTATGCTTAGTTCCTGGTTTCACCTGTTTATGATTAAACTCCTGAAGAATTCAAATAAAAATGGACCCATGTGAGAGAGAGAGAGAGAGAAATGGCTACTTTGATATTTGTGAGAGGTCTGAAACATCACCAGTTGTTTATTTTCCCTATAGGTTTTGCCGAAGGCATCGGTTGAGAACAGGGGAAAATATCCCCTCAGTACCTCGAGACCTCCTCTTGATGTCTGAGATGGTTCTTCCTCGCTTTATCCTGTTTGTCATACAGTATCTGAGGGATGGATACGTCGAACCAGGTGAAAATACTCAGTGTGCCTGTATCCTTCAGAAATATACTAAACCATATTCTCTTGTTCACTTTGTTTTTCATTTTCTGTATACGCTGAGTCAAAAGTTCCGATATGCCTTCTCAATCAGTGGTTTTCCTTTGTTTCTATTATTTTATACAATGTGGATTAATACCATTGATTGTATATAGAGGTGGATGATGTGACAACTCCTCAGAAAGTGAAGTGTCCACGCTCATATCATGCTCACAAAATGATTTATTGTGCAGCCCCAATATGTAGTAAGTAAAAAAAAAAATTCATATTTTAGATTCCTTAAAGTAGCAGGTGTTTGCACGAGTTTATCACTTGGAATGGTTTTCAAGTATGCTGTGTCAAATTTAATTGGTAGAATTTTTCACCTTCTTAATGTGTTTGAGATATCACTTGCTTTGATATAGAGCAAATAGACCAGTTTGACTATTGTAGTAATCCGTGTCAATGCAAGAACTGCTCTACTAAGTAAAGAGAAATGAGAATCTGTCATTACTTTAAGACATTAAGGTTATTCAGCCTGGAAAACTTTAAGAACTTTGAAAGTTTCAAGAGCTGTCACAAAATGTATCAAAAACTATGATTAAACAGACTGTGATGAGGACTGTGCCAGGAAAGGAAGACCAAAAATCACCCCTGCTACAGAGGACAAGTTCATTCATGTTACCAACTGTGGAAATGACCAAATAATCACATCTTGGATTAGAGCCCACATCAGTGATTCCCACAGTTCAAGTGGCAGGCACATATCAACATCAACAGTTCAGGCCTTTGTGGTCGAAATACTGTAGATATACCACTACTGAGGGAGACCAATAAGCAGAAGAGAACTGCCAAGCAACACAGGAAATGGACATTTAGACCACTGCTTTTGGTCTGATTAGTCTAAATTTGGCATATTGGTTCCATCCACCCTGGCTCTGTGAGACACAGAGATGGATGGTATCTGCATGTGTGGCTTCCACCATGAAGCGTGGATGAGGAGGTGTGCGGATGTTTTGCTGGTGACACTGTTGGTAAATTTATTCATAATTCAAAGCACAGTTAACCAGCATGGTTGCCATGACATTCTGCAGCAACACCATCCCAGCTGATTAGCTCTTAGTGGGACCACCATTTGTCTTTCACTAGGACAGTGAGCCAAAACACACATCCAGGCTCTGTTAGGGCTGTTTGACCAAGGAGAGTGATGGAGTGCTGCATCAGATGACATGACCTTCATAATCACTCGAGCTAAACCCAACTGAGAAGGTTTGGGATGATTTGGACTGCAGAATGTGGAAAAAGTAGCCAACAGGAGCTCACTCAGCATATGTGTGAACTCCTTCAAGACTGTTGAAACAGCTGACTACTTTATAAATCAGTTTGAGACAGCCCCAAGACTGTGTAAAGAATGTATCAAAGCAATCTAAAATTTAACAATTTAAAACATTTAGCTTTTTTAAAATTACTTGTTTTGCTTTCTGTGCGATTCCATGTGTGTTATTTCATACTGTACTGTATATGGCTTAGCTCTCCTGTTGTATATCAAATGCAAAATAGGGTCTGCTGTGCAAACTGGAAACCAGTGTTGTACAAATGTTAACATCTACATTTCTATTCACATAGCACTGAGTCTCACCTGTTATCTTGCTTTACCAGACACCTCAGCTGAGCGAGATCTACAGAAAGTCCTGCAGCAGCTGGAGCCTCAGATCTCCTTCCTGGAGGAGCTGACAAAGATGGGAGGTGCAATGAGGACCGTACTGACAAAAATCTTGACCAACCCACAAACATTCAAGGAGTTGAGCATGGGTAAATATCTAGACTAGAGTTTGTGTTTGAACAATGTAGGTTGATAATTATCAAGAATTGTTATATCACAAAGTTTTTTTTTTTTATTAGTTTATTTATTGCAAGCATGAGGCAGAATTTTTTTAGTTATTGAAGTAGTTTTACTGTGCATGTTTTTGTTTATTCCCATCTGTTGCAGTACAGTTACTACTCAAGAAAAGACAGATTTTGCTTGATCTATATAAACACTATATAAAGTTATGTCCATAAAAATACATACACAAGCATGAAATAAAAACATACTAAAATGTAGTATTTGGTATTGCTATTACCATATAAAGAAAAGGAAAGAGGAAAACTGTTTTATTCTGCATTTTCCTCTAAGCCATACTTTCTGTGGCTGAGTAGTTAATTCATGCCCTTTAACTTAAATTCTACACATTTGCTTCAAAATTTCTTCACCTTAAAGTTTTGGCAGTACAGTAGTTATTGTTACAGTGCACAATGTTTTGTTTCACTGTTGCAGGCCAAGAAGAGAATGTGTATGCTAAAAAGAACTATGACAAGTATTTGTCAGCATTGAAAAATTCAGGTCTGGTGTCTGTGGAGGAGAAAGCCCAAGGAGCTACTGCTGATGTCACTGTTGGTGCTGAAGGAGGTGCAGGAGCAATGGTCCTACTGGGTAAGATAATCTGAAGTCATGATATTAAGTGTTAAGGTTATATTGTCATTAACCATCTGGCTATGGGGAGCTATCGGGATCAATGAATGTGCACGTTAACACTTTCAATAACTGCGTGTTGCTACATATAGTGATGACATATGATTATGACATGTTAACACGTTACAGCTGGAAGCAAACCAAATGATCCAGTGATCTAGGGGGAGATGATATCATGTATTCACTTGCCTCTTGTATATATGTGTGGCATTCTCTTGTCTCTCTGGGCTGTGGATAATAAGCTACAGTTTTTGTACAGTAATCTTTATAACTTTTAATTAATGCCTAGATGGCAGGACAGTACATAGACAGACTCCCCACTCTTGCACATTAGCAAAGAGTATGTAAGCACTTTGACATCTCTCTCTCTCTTTGTGTGTGTGTGTGTTAGTTACACTATGAGGTACCTCAGCATAACCATGGAAGTGCATCTACACGAGATCATGTGACCACAGTGTATACATTTGTCAGACCCTACTAGCTGTGATGTAGGACCATAACATCAAAAGGGGTTGACCCCTGTGTTATCAGCCAGTGGCACTAAATTTCCACTTGACGTTAACCTGCAAATTCCTGGACCTGATGGCCTGCCATATCTCTTATTAGAAATAGCTGCTAAAAGCTATTTTCAAAATCTTGATCATTTTCGTGCTTTTCTCAAAGGTACTAAAGTAGGAGCTCATAAGTTATTGCTGGGTTTTTTCCTTTTGTGACAGGTAAACCGTGAGTGAAACCTAATGCCCTTGTATTTAATGTTGAAGCAATAAAACATTTGGCACTGCAAATTTGTCTTTCAAAACACTACAGTTCTATAAACTTACAGCAACTGCCTTCTCTGCCACTTTTTACATGCAGTATTCTTGAAGTGAAGATGTCATGGCTATTTCAGATAAAGTTCATCCATTATATCATTTGGTTAGAATAAACAATTAGGTTATTGCCAAAACAACACAGAGCTATAGCATTTGTCCTGGGGCTTAAAATGCTGCTAATGGCAATTTATGGATAAAAGTTTTTCTTGGTTTTTGTAGGAACCACTGCTCCGGGGAGCCCAGATGAGTCTAGTAAAGAGGTTTGTGTATGCATCAAGCACAAAATGATTTGTGACCACTTACAATTTAAGTTTAAGCTTCAAAGCATTATTTTGTCATGTGTGTTTTAATTTGATATGAACTGATTAACAGTTATTTCTTAAATTATTTCCAGATGTGTTAGTTGAAATTCTTATTGTTTTTCCTCCCAGGAGGACCAAGATGCAGGGCAGTCTGTTGGTCAGAGGAAGAGGGTGAAGCTAAGTAGCAGTACCAAAGGTAAATGCAAAGAAAAAGTAATGCATCAATATTCTGTATGTTGCATAAACTGCTTATTTTATTATGTGTCCTTTCTGCCCCCAGACCCATGTATTATTGAATCTTTAAAGCATAAATGCTTTCTGGAGGAGTTGCTGTTTTGGACAATAAAATATGAGTTTCCTCAGAAGATGGTTACCTTCTTACTAAACATGTTGCCAGATCAAGATTACAAGGTATTCTTTTTTTCTGCCATGTTTATTTGCAAAAAATGCAACACTCTAGGTTTGCTTTTAGATACTTGTCTGGCCTTTTGTTGTAATATAGTTTATTGGCATTGCCATGGCACAGACTCTGTTAATGGAAATGATACCCACGGTGTTTTGAAAGTGAACTGAATCCTTAAAAGAGACGGCGTTGTAGCTGCGCGCTTTAATTGTCCTGTGGCTTTTTCTTCTTCCTCTCGGGCAGATCACTTTTACAAAAACATTTGTTCAGCATTATGCATTCATCATGAAAACCCTGATGAAAAGCCAGGAGTCAGATACCATGTCCAATCGCATTGTACATATTAGTGTGCAGCTGTTCAGCAATGAGGAGCTGGCTCGCCATGTGACAGAGGAATGTCAACTGCTGGACATCATGGTCACTGTCCTCCTCTACATGATGGAGAGTTGTCTTATCAAAAGTGAACTTCAGGGTAAGTTGTCCAACTGTATTGGGTTTAACACACCTAGTCACATTTAAAATAATTGTAAAGATCTAAGCGGGTGGTTGTGAAACTCAGTTTAGGTCAGTTCACAGTTGATCAATTCGCACTATGCACGGTGTAACTGTTGTTTTACTAAAGTGTCACATTGTATGCACATACTCAGAAGACCTAGTGTTATTGATTGGGTCGGGGGCATGAATGACATTATATCAAGCAGCCATTATTTTTATGTTGGTGGCTCATCATTAGCTCTGTATTAATAAAGACTGCATTCTCTTTATTTTTGTAGTACAATAGCTGGTACACAGGGCCTGTGATATGTTGTGAGAAATAAAAGACTAGAGTTAGTTTCAAAAGAACAAAATGCAGTGGTTATTTTTTCTTTTTTTTATTTCTTTGTATTGTTATTATTCTTAGTGCATGGAATAATGTACAGATGTTTAATTCCTCTCACCATTATTTTCAGCCTCTGAGTGAAATGAGCTTGATTCTCTTCTTTTAACTTTTGAGAGCAGTTTTTTTTATTCTGTAGTTGACTTTGTTATTGTATGTACAGCAGGTGAATTTTGTAACTTGCTGGTTGTTCACATTTATCTGGGTGTTTCAGCGTTGCTTTTAAGTAACTCAATGCAACATGAGCCAAAATCTCATGATCCTAATGTGTTTTTGTTTTCTTTTTAGATGAAGAGAACAGCCGCCATGTTGTGGTGAACTGTAGCGAGGCACTGCTGAAAAACAACACTTACTGGCCGTTAGTTAGTGATTTTATTAACATCCTCTCACACCAAAGTGTAGCAAAAAAGTTCCTGGAGGACCATTCGTTATTGATGCTGTGGATGAGCTTTGTGTCATTTTTTCAAGGTAAGTTATAGTTTGATGGGGATGTGGTAAATGAACTGCACATTTATGGCGGTTGCGTTTACCCGAGCTGGACAAATGCTGCGTTTCCACTATCTGAACCTAACGAGTGGTATACTGTGTACTTCCTTTAACATTACCAAGAATGCGGACTCTCCTGCTTTGTTTTTCCACTGTATTTTCTGTGTGTCAGTCTGTTTAGAGGAGGGAGGGGCTGCCACTTTCTCACACATGCAGTCAGCTGTTTGTTTACACACGGTGCTTGTAATGATTGACGTGTGAAGATGTGAACATTTAACTAATCACCAGCAACTGCTCTACACACATGCACCTCTTCCCCACTTGTGTTTCTGGTACTTGATTTTAGTACTACCTCTTGAGGGGTGCCAAAATTTAGCTCCCAGAATGCACCTCCAAAGCAGGCACACTGTAGTGGAAACAAACACAGTACCCGTGATGAGTGTTACTCGGCATGACGCGTTTCGTAGGTTCCTATAATGGAAAAACCCCCAAAGTGTTTGACAGTACCTCTTGTTCACACATTGAAACACACACACTTCGACCTGAGTGGCAGTAACATTCAGTTGCTTCAGCAATAGATGAACAGTTTTTATTCAGAAGTGCAGATGGTTGGCGACCTACGTTATATGTGCTGTGTTACCTGTTAATTCAGATAGTAAGTGTATGTACTGAGGCAAATGATGATGAAAGAGGTGTTGCTCTTGGATCTCCAAGCATCTTGATAAATACCATTTCTTGTATCCCTCTTGTACCTGTTGAAGGTATAGTGGTTCCACCATTCTCAGTACTTTGCTGACAATATAATACCTGTCGTTTGTGATGCGAACACAACAGCTGATTTAAACAATAGCTCAGATGTGTGCAGATTTTCGGTCAGTTTATATTATTACAGTATGCTTAATCAGACAAAGGGAGGCCTAATCTGTCCTTTAACAAAAGAATGCCTAATAGAAAAAGTGAGTTTTGGGGTCTGTGACACTTTGTGACTGAATTAGAGTTCTTGTTTGTGCTGCTCATTTGCCATGTGCACTTTATCACAGCCCTAAAAATAACACTCAGCCTTGCACAGTGGGCTTGAGTATCCTCTTGCAGAGGTTATGCGCAGTGTCACCATTACATTGTATGCATGTCTGCTGCACTGTTTTACATAAAATTTTCCTGTTTGCTAGATAATCTGGCTTTCATTAATATGTACAAATATTAAGCAGTAGGAGAGGTCTTCACTGAATTTGTAAAACACAAGCTCTGTTCTTTGTGTTAATATTTTTAAGCAGATTACTTATGTTAACATTAAGAAGCCGTGTAGCATGTTATTACTGTCTAACCTTTTTAAACTATTTTCTTTTGTGATAGGTATGAACCTGAATAAGCGAGAGTTGAATGAACATGTGGAATTTGAGTCTCAGACATACTATGCAGCGTTTGCAGCGGAGCTTGAGGCGTGTGCACAGCCAATGTGGGGTCTCTTAACACACTGCAAAGTCAAAGTAGGTCCTGTCTTTACACTACTCTCACACTCAGCACCTTTGTGCATTCCTGATGATTTAGAAGTATTAATAGAACATGTAACCCAAACATCCTGTGCTGCATACACTAACTGTATAGCCCTATGTGATTTTTCTTACATTTTAAATGGTCTGTTAACAGGAGACACAGGAATACACTAAAACAGTGGTGCGCTACTGTTTGGAGACCCTTCAGATCTGGTTTGATGCCATTGGCTTCATCGATGAGGTAAATTTAAATGGCAAACTACTGTATTTACTAGCAGGCTTTATCCTCCTATTTTTCTCAAGACTGTGTATATCTATTATAGCCTGCTCCAAATCAAGTGACATTTCACCTGCCACTACATCGCTACTATGCCATGTTCCTCAGTAAGGTATGTCAGAAGCTCTCGTCTCTTAAGGCATGACTCAGTGTATGCTTGTGTTTTGTGTGCTTTAAAGTTAGTTGTTTGGTTCTCAGGCTGTAAAGTGCCAAGGCCTGGATCTGGATAGCCTCCTGCCTGACCAAGAGATGCTGATGAAGATAATGGTGCATCCACTCCAAATTCAGGTATAACACTACAGACCCATAAACAGACTTAAAATTTGCATTCACTTCCATCTCCCTGCATGTGTGTGTTAGTTAAAACTTTTTATATGGTTGTAGGCATGCCTATCAGAGATCCACAGCAACATGTGGGTCAGAAACGGCCTGCAGATCAAGGGACAGGCTATGACCTATGTGCAGTCACACTTCTGCAACTCCATGATTGACCCAGACATCTATCTTCTCCAGGTTGGAATTGCTGGATCATAGAGTGCTCACTTTTTATATCAATTTTTTAAAAATCATTTTCATTCTTGCATTCATATTTTTCTTGTTTTACAGGTTTGTGCATCAAGACTAGATCCAGACTATTTTATCTCAAGTGTTTTTGAGAGGTAAGCCATCTATTTTTTCTTTTTTTTACTGTATAATGCACTTTAATTCACACACAGATTAATGTCATTGTGGGGGCACTTTGCACACTGTTTCCTGTCACACAGATTTAAAGTGGTTGACCTCTTGACCATGGCATCTCAGCATCAGAATGCTGTGTTAGACTCTGAGCAGGAGAGGCCAATGCTAGAAGGAGCACTGACCTTCCTTGTCATACTGACGAGTCTTCGCATACATTTGGGTAAGAAACTAACGGCTTACGATTTAGTAAAGTAAGTGTACGGTACATTTCAGTTTCTTAAAGCTCTTCATGTATTTGCTGTCTGATGTGTTGATGCACATAGTGTGGTGTGTTGGTCAGGGTTGCCTTGTAATCCCTGGTTGTTTCAACTAGTGCAGTTCATATGTTTGTTGTGTGGCATCATGGCAGTTGAGATGTATCCTGTGCTACATTAGATCATTTTTCAGCATTTCTTACCGATGTACCAGCAGTCAGAAGTGGTCCTGTCTCCTAGTGCAAATCTATCCCTTCTTTCTGAGGTGTCCATACCCAGCATCAATCAGTATCTCTTAGATATACTGTATGTGATAGGTGTTGCCTCTCCATTTTTGGTTTTAAATGTTTAGTGAGACACTCTGTGAGATTGGGGTGTCCCTGGAACACATGCATTCACATATGTTCTACCATTGCAGGTTATATTATTTGATCTTTGTTTCCACAGACAGCTTTAATTGATGCTGCATAATTAGGGAATATTAAAAATGTATGTAATATTTTTAAAATTCACATTGACCAAAGGAAGGGATACTATCCTGAAAGTGTTGATGCATATGGTAAACTGTGCTTAGTAGACTTAGAGGTAAGGCTTAATGATGAATTGTAACAGTATTATTTAGGCTATGGCACACTTCATTCTTAAACTGTATGAGCTGAAATAATCATTTGTGGAGGTGTTGTCAGTTGAAATGTTGAACAGGTGCAGCTAATTCATGTTTATTCCTGGAGTTGACCAAAATACCTGATAAAACTGGTTAATATGTTCTCTCATGCCAGTGTTTGTACTATTTATAATCATCTGAAAACAGTTTCATTCAGTCAAGTCAGTATTTATTTGAATAGCCCAATATCACACTTCACAAATTTGCTTCGAGGGGCTTTACAGTGTGTATAGCATACAGTGTCCTCTGTCCTTTGACACTTGAATTGGATATGGAACAAGTCTTGAAAGAGACCCTACTTGTGTAATTCAGTTAGAAAAGATTGAGAAGACCAATAGAGTGGCAGTAAAAACACAATTTTAGCCAATTTGCCTTAAAGTTGTGCTTCTCACTTTCATTGACAGGGATGACGGATGATGAGATCCTTCGGGCTGAGATGGTCTCGCAGTTGTGTATGAATGACCGTACACACAGTGCACTGTTAGATCTGGTATCCTTCAGTTCTTAAAAAAATGTAAACAGCAGCTATATTCAGTCATCCTGGACATCTTTTTTTTCCTTAAGGATGTTATCTTAGATCCCTGAGAATCCCAACCCAAAGAGTGGCATTGTACCAGGTAGTTGTAGTTTTGAGGAGATGCTCTCTGCTGTGGCCGACTTTAAAGCACCAGTGTTTGAGCCTGGAGGCTCCATGCAGCAGGGCATGTACACACCCAAAGGTAAGATGCTTCTGGTCAGGTTGATAGTGTTATTTACTAACTTTGTAGATAAGTCGAAAAACAAGGAAAAGCATGCCATGGGCCCTTTAAATTATTTTAAACATCAAGATCGGTATGATGTGGTGCAGACTCCCAAGTTTGCAGGCACCCCAGCAAAAACCTTTGGTTTGATTCCTAGGATTGTTAAAATGGCAATAAAAGGATTTGTTTGTCCTTAATTTTAAGCACCTTCTGTGTGGCATCTGCACAGCAGGATTTACAGCACAAACCTTCAGCTGAGAGAGGGATGGATGTCTGTGGCCCTCCACTGGGCAACACTAATGTGAACAGTTCCAAGGATTGCAATGAATTTGGAATTGGGATTTCCATTTGGGAGACTGCAGATATATTTAAAAAAAATATGTCTGCTATGCAATATTAAGCAAATCACTGTTCTCTTTAGTTTTATTTGAAAACATAATGTAATACTTTATTTTATGAAACTGACAAATTGTTTTTGTGTGCTCTCCAGTTAGAAAGAAAATGTATTTTTATATTCAGGCATATACAGCAACACTCTTTAACAGATCAGAATCTTAAGTTGAAAGTAGGCCTTTTGCACTACTTAAGCTAAGGTGTACTGGCGTAGTATGACACACAATAGAAAAACGTCTGCTCAGTGCCTGCTTTTGTAAATGGTGTTACGCCAGCCACCCAGACAGAATAAATGTCTCTTTCAAACAGATATCTGTATTATATCTCATTTATTATCACATGCCTTATATATTTCTAGGTAGAAATGGTAAAAATGATAGAAATGTGTGGTCTGACAGTCTCAAAGTCTTCAATTGTTAGATCTGTCACTTGTCCTCAGGTGACCACTTGGGGGCAGGCTGACACCACTTACATAGAAAAGGGTGAAAATAGGAAGAAAGTGAATCAATGTCACTTTCCTCCAGAGGTTATAAAGCACTTCTCTCCTTTGTCACAATTAGCGGAGGTGTGGGAGAAGGAGTTCGACCCCATCATGGTTGTTCTCAGAACAGTCTATCGACGTGATGTCCAGTCGGCAATGGACAGATACTCAGCGTTGTAAGTTCATACTATTGCCTTAATGTCTTCAAATAAATGGCTTGTTTATATCATTTAGACTTGTTAATTAACATTGGCTTTCATTTAAAAATTTGTCTGTCACATAATGTCTTATCTGCATTTGGCGTGACAGTACTGTGTTCTTTTGTTGGCTCATTCCAACTGTTCCTGACAAAGCAACGTGTTTAGTGTTATAGGGTCACCTTTCTCACCTGCTCATGAAGGGATACGATAAGAAAGGTCAGGGCTACAGGGTACTGCTTGTTGGTTCCAATTAGATAGCTGTCAAGGAAAAAAAAATCAATATTTCAGGCTAAATTGTAATAGAATTGAGGAAACCTTTCTTGTTTGATTGTGGTGCAGATGTCTCCCAAGACAAACATGGCAGCAGAAGTGAAGGAGGTACCTTGGGGTTGACTTCTTTAAGGTTGTTGAATGTCTAATTATACTGAGTCACTGGGTGCTGCTGTGCTCAAAATGGTAGTTTGGAAAATAGCTTCTTTTTTTTTTTTTAATAATGGGATTTTAGGCTGTATTTGGTGAAACTGTAAATGAATGTAGATATATTTAAATGTAGTTCTTTCACACACAGTATACCTTTTTTTATGGCAAGTTTTTGGTTCTCCAATCCTGATGAAATGGAGCAGTACTTCTCCTGGAAAACGTATCAAAGCTGCCATTGCACCTTCAGAGTCTGATACCAGCCTCATGTTGCTCATTCTCACTGTTTGAATATGATGGATTGCCTGTCAAGATGGCCCTGGTTTTACAGTATATAACGATGATCCCATCATCACTGACTGAGTGAGCGACTTTGCTGCCCATCAGCTGTTTTGTTGCATAGACTGAAATCTTTTGTACAGTGAATAACTCCGAACAGCGTTAAGTGTTTCTTCATCAAACCTTCCTTTATGTGGAAATTCAACCCCCTAGTTAGCACGTGCCCTTATGGCTGTGGTGGTAATTACTGTGGTCTTTGTGTCACTGATTTTCTTCTTGTGATTTTTTTTTTTTTCTTATTGATGGTGGTGTCAACTAGTTTGAAACAGTCTGGCATTCACACTGGCAACCCATGGCCGCCTTACAAGGAAAGAACTCCTCTGCACCCGTGTTACAAAGGTCTAATCAGGCTGTTGCACTGCAAGACACTACACATAGTGATATTCACTCTGCTTTACAAGGTGAGCCTTTCAACAGCTATTCATGTGGTATAATATAGCACTGCCCTTGTATCTTAATTTACTCCTTGGGCTAAATTAGACTACCTCTGTGTGCCATAGTTAATTGGGGTGCCAATAATATGACTTTGCAATTAATTGATGCTGACATGTATCAAGATATAAAATGCATAAGGTGCAAAAATAATGGACCTCGTTGTGTAGATGAGGCATAATGCAGACACAGGCAAGCAGTTGCTTAACTGCCACAATTTTGGTATTGGTATAGTAGGTATGAGGCTAAATGTTTTACTTGTTCTTTAGTGTAAGCCAATACTTTAATATGTTCTAGATATGGATGGATCATCAGAACATGTCCGAGCATGTGTTGTGCATGGTCCTGTACCTGATCGAGCTGGGCTTGGATAACCAAGTTCAAGACAACAAGGAGGGTGAGGTGAGATACCAGGGCTGTGAGTTGCAACCAGTCTTCTCACTGGGTAGATTGTGAAGCAGTGCCCTTCATGGTTTGTATCTTATGTCTCTAGGAGCCTTGCATTGAAGAGCATTGCCATGACAGCTGGTTTCCTGGCACCAACCTCCTCTCCAATCTGCACCATATCATTAACTTTGTGAGGGTTCGGGTTCCTGAGACAGCCCCTGAAGTTAAGAGAGAGGCCCCTCCCAGCACCAGCACTGAAGCGTCCTCATATGGCCAGGTAAAAGGAAGCTAAGTGACAGGACCCTTCATCACAGTGCATTGTTTTCTGTAATACAAACAACTGGAAATGAAACTTATGGTAACTATACTGGCTCTCAATTTTGTTATTGACTGTATGCTTCATGCCTGTGCAAAAGGGCGGGGGTGGTGGTGGTGGTGGTGGCGGCTTAGTACCTAGTATGCCAAGTATGGACTCCTATACTTGGTAGTTCGGACTTGGTGAGTTTGAACTTTTAAGTACAAACTCCTAAGAACGGGAGGACACAGTGCTCTCAATGTGCAGCTAGAGCACTAGCATCCTTACTAACAGACTACTACGTTCTGTATGAGGTGCAGCTGCCTGCTAATTATAGCTAGCTGGTCCATAAGCAGGTACTGACATCTCTGAAAACATTGGAGCAAATTTCCCAATTGGCATTACTTGATAAACGGATCATATTCTCAATCCAAAAACATCAAAGCATTACAAAAGATGGCACAATACCAGTCCTAGGATGAAAATTATAACAGCTTTGAGCCTGGCTCCAACTTCGATAGCTAGCACACAGTGCATTCTGGGATACTTGGCTGCCCCAAGTTCTCACAAGTCAGCTCTCAAAGTGTTCTTGATAAAATGGACAGAACAAGAACAGTTCTGTTTTTTATGTGTACTTGGCTGGATGCAGATATTGAACTGGAACAATGCTTTGGCTGTGATTCGTGATGTTTTATAAGCCCGCAAGAACACAAGTACTGAGAAAAGGGCCTATTAGAAAACACCTTTGGTCTTGTAATCAGCATGAAGTTCCCAGGCAATCAGTGTAAACTACAGGAAGTCACTGTTCCAGGCTAAGAAATAGTCTGGCCCCCTGCGTAAAAATGCTACTTTACACTGTTAACAGTTTTTTTTTCCCCACTTCAGTTTGTGTGAGGATTATTTAAATGGTATGTAAAGTATTATTAATAAGTGAGCATTAGAGGTGATGGTAGGTCAGCTGTTTCTTTATTTTCAGACCTTGTGTTTGGCAAAGCGGCTTCTGGCTTCATATTTCCAGTACAGACCTGAGAGGGGGCTTCTCAGCAGGGAATTAAATTT